ATTTCTGGAGCAAGGCCATTTTATTTTAGTATAGTTAAATACACACACGCACACACACGCACACACACACTCTAAACCTCTTCTTTGCTTAAATAGTTTGGGACTGAGCAAGCATGTGGTGCTGAGGCTAATCAGTCCAGGTCTAATTGGAGGGCAAAATGAGAAGGGGAAAAATTTTTTCTCAACAACTTGAAAATTGTGAATAAAAATGGATGTAAGAATTAAATTTAGGGAAATGGCTTTTTACTACATAGCTGATACCTTTTGCTTCTTTAAGTGATAAAAATTAAATGTGATAGTCACTTTCAATTTTTTGAAGCTTTGTTTGATAAAGACCTGAAAGGTACTTCAGCAGGGACTGGGTTTCTATCTGGATGAGGGGCAAACTGAAACAAAGTTGATGTACCTAATCAGCTATGGCTTTGATGAAATGTATTCATACACAATCACCAAGCCCCATCCTGGAAGCCAATCATTTCAGAACATGTTTTTTCAGGATGTCAGTTTGTTTTAATAGTAGGTTGCTATCCCCCAAACTACCATATTCTTGATTTTCTTTTTGTTTTTCCTTTTTTCAAGTTTGCAAAAAGCAATAACTTAAGCCACAAGAAAAAACCCACAAAAATGCTTTTCACCAATTACATGTGTTTTGAACTAGAATAACCTAACATTTTTAAAAAAGACTTCATTAGAATAAAAAAACCTTTAAAGGTAGAATCCATTAGAATCTCACGTTGTCATTCTATGTTCCTGCAGTTAAAGACTATGTCATTATTTCCATTATACTTACCTCCTAATTTCCAGGGCTTATTAGCCTGGCTGTAAAAACTTGCTCCAGTTGAAATTTGGCAAGCTGACAAGGCTGCGTGCCAGAGGTAATTTACTATCCAGTGTGGTTTGCAAAGTAAAAGAAGCTATATATAATAGAAAAAGAAATGAAAAGTTCCTGGTTCCAAATATTTTAATGTGTGTAATGTGTGTCACCTCAAACTTTTCAGCTTTTGTTGTTAGCAATGTGAGATAACATGAAAGGTTTGAAAAGTACAGATGCTTTGCATTCACATCAAACTGAGGGCTCCGATGTTCTTAGGCATCAAAGAGCAGTCTGGGTCTATCACTTCTGTTTGACTTTGAAGTCTCCCAGAGCTCTGTGTGGGAGAAGCGGGCAGAAGACTTGGAACAAGGTAGGGGGAGGGGATTCCAGGTGTGTCACCTCTCATTATCACTGAAATTAGGTATTTCTCTTTACCTAATAATGATGACAATAATAATAACTAATAATAATGGGATAAAAAGCGAGCGTTTCTTTGCTGTTTTTAAGCACTGGGCTGTTCATGAACTTAATCTTTAGATGTGACAATGAATATCCTAAGGAAATGTTCAAGTTTAGAAGTTTACTTGTAAGTACTTTGGGGACAAGAATAGATGCTTTAACTTGATTTGCAAATATCTCACTACTGTTCATCTGTCAGAGTCCTTTTTTTTTCTTAAGATTTATTTATTTATTTATTTATTTGAGAGAGCGAGAATGAGAGGGAGAGTACATGAGAGGGGGGAGGGTTAGAGGGAGAAGCAGGCTCCTCCCTAAGCAGGGAGCCCGATACGGGACTCGATCCCGGGACTCCAGGATCATGACCTGAGCCGAAGGCAATCGCCTAACCATCTGAGCCACCCAGGCGCCCCCATCTGTCAGAGTCCTTAAGAGATTGTCTTGGGACCCTAAATGAGACCCCCTCCTTTCTGTTTTCCAAACTGGCTCATAAGCACTGCAATGGCACCAAGTGTTTCTCCAACATGGGGTGAGCAGCATACACCTTTCTCGGATTACTTTTACTTGACAGTCTGGAAAAAAGAATCACAAAAATTTATATTAAAATGAATACGAGTGGCTCCTGGCTGGCTCAGTCAGTAGAGCATATAACTCTCGATCTCGGGGTTGTGAGTTCGAACCCCACGTTGGGTATGGAGATTACTTAAAAAAATAAAATCTTGGGGCACCTGGGTGGCTCAGATGGTTAAGCATCTGCCTTCGGCTCAGGTCATGATCCCAGGGTCCTGGGATCGAGTCCCGCATCGGGCTCCCTGCTCCTTGGGAGCCTGCTTCTCCCTCTGCTTCTCTCTCTCTCTCTCTCTCCCTCTCTCTCTCTCCTCCTCTGTCTCTCATGAATAAATAAATAAAATCTTAAAAAAAAATAAAATCTTGAAAAAAAGAAACTGTAAACCAAAAAAATTAAAAAAATTAAAATTAAATCTAACATATTGTGGGCTAGAATGTAAAATTTATATGAACTCTTTTGCAGAGGGAGAAAGCTTTGGTCACTCGTGTTTCAATATTTTGACCCTGCCACATATAAAAATCATAGTTGAAGCTCTTGAAGAGAATGATATCCTCAAAGAGAGCATCTGGTCATTAATGCTTTCTTTTAAAGTGTAACTTTCATAAAGTGCACAAAAATTTTATTTGAGAGAGAGAGAGAGCATGAGCTGGGAGAGAGGCAGAGGGAGAGGGAGATAAGCCGACTCACTGCTGAGCAGGGAGCCCAACGTGGGGCTCGATCCCAGAACCCTGGGATCATGACCTGAGCCAAAGACAGATGCTTAACCAACTGAGCCACACAGGTGCCCCCATAAAGTGCACAAATCTTAAGTGCATACCTCAATGGATGGATTTCTACATATGCATACACCCATACATATGTATAATGACCACCCAGATCAACTAAGTATAGAACATTTCCAACTTTCAGAGGGCTCTCTGAAAGTACCCCCTACCAGGTAGTACATGTTTACCAATCTGACATCCATGGTGAGTTTTGAAGATCAAATAAAAGACTGAAAGAAATATCAAGTTTTCTGAGGTGCACCTTAGAGCTCCCAACTCAAGAGCACTTTTTCTCTGGACCTCTGGTTCCTTAACTAGGTGTGCTCATCTAAGGATTCTGAGACTCAGTGGGCATTATTCAAACACAATTTCTTCTGCCATATTGGGCTTTCTCTAGCAGGTGTTTTTGTTTTTGTTTTTTCCTCTTCAAGAGCTCCTTGCGTTGATATTTTAAAATATTTGTGATCAGAGTAGGTGAGTTAATATATAAGGAACTTAGAACAGTGCACATAGTAGCTCGGCATCTAGAAGCCCTAGATAAGAGATAGCTATTATACTGAGATTCAGAGGAAACAAAAGAAGGCTTTGCCATTATTATTATTATTTATCTATTTATTTAAAGATTTTATTTCTGAGAGACAGCGCATGCGTGCACGCTCACACACAAGGGGGGGCAGGTGTTCTGAGAGAAGGGGAGAGAGAGAGAAGCAGACTCCCCACTGAGCAGGAAGCCTGATGCCGGGCTCCATCCCAGGATCTAGAGATCATGACCTGGGAGATGAAGACAGGTGCTTCACTGACTGAGCCACCCAGGCGACCCTGCCATTAATATTATAATAATTCGGGGTTGGGGGATGGGTTAGCCTGGTGATGGGTATTAAAGAGGGCACGTTCTGCGTGGAGCACTGGGTGTTATGCACAAACAATGAATCATGGAACACTACATCCAAAACTAATGATGTAATGTATGGTGATTAACGTAACAATAAAAAATTAAAAATAAAAAAATTATAATAATTCTTAGAGCAAGAAAACATCGATGCGAAATTTGAAAATAAGTGAGGAGAGTATTTATAGTTGGATTGATTTAAAAATCATAGTTAGCTATCAACTTTGCCTTGAAATGAAAGATTAAAATCTCTCAGCTTGCTGAGCCCCTTTGGACTTGAAGAAATTCGGCAAGTGCCTTTTGTTATTCGGTCATGCATTTATTTATTGAGTGCTTATTATTTTCTAGGCACTGTTCTAAGCTCTCAGATATCTAGTGAACAAAACAAATATTCCCTACCTGTTTGGAACTTACTATCTAGTAGCATCCCTACTTTCACTGTTAACACAGGCTGGGGATTTTCTTTACAAAGAAATTTCATCTTTGTTTTACATTCATGAGTTTCTTCCCCTCTCTCATGTCTTACAGCTGAGGGATCAAGAAATGAAGCTGAAGCCAACCTTTCCTTCAGTTCTGAGGCCAGTGGGGTAAAATGTGAAAAGGAAAAAAAAAAGGAAAGGCACAGAGGTGGAACACGGTTAATTGCTAAACTTAGTCCCCTTTCATAAATCACAAGGTGCGAATGCCAATGTTGAAATAAACAGGTCTAGCAAGAACTCCTGCTTTGGTTTTTTATCATCTTCCAGAACTTAAACTCAGCCATGAAGTTATTATTTTAGGTTTAGTAATTATACCAACAATGTCGCTTCGAAGCTGAGTTGTCTGATGATTCCTTTAGAAATGCTAACTTGCTTGAGCAATGGTTTAAGGAGGGTCTATACCGTACTGATTTATTTCGGTAACTCCCAAACTTTTCAACAGCAAGCTCCCCTCTTCTAAAAAATATATACTTTCTGATACCCACCCAGGGCCATGTGTTTTATTAAACGATCTTGTCTACAAAGGCAGATTATTTAAATAATGAAAAGGCCTTCCCATTTAAAAATTAATCGGGCAATTAGAGATTCTAATTGGCACGTGAAAAACTGGTGTTGTCACACTGGTTTACTAAGTCTAGTCGACAGCAAAACCAATGGACAGTCCGGCCAGTTTCAGCGTCCTTTACGATTTTCATTACTGACATTTTCAAATGTTTGCTACTGGAAAACGAGGACATAGGACGGCATCACAATATAAGGAGACAATATTCCGCAGAAAGCGCATTGCACGTCTCTCTCAGGTAACCCCTCTGGACACCGGGAGGTGCTTCCTCGGATCGCCGCCTTCGCCTAGCCTAGCGCGCGTTTAGCACCGCCCCCACGCCGGCTCCGCCCCTCCACTCCCGTCCACTTGAGTCCTCCTGCGTCAACCTGGTCCTCGCGGCAACCCCACAATCGGCCACAGAGAAGCGAAAGCCAGAGGGCCTTCTCCAACGGCGGCGGCGGCGGCGGCGGCGGAAGCGGAAAAGGCGGGACCTAGGGCGCACGTTACGTAAGCACGTGCGAACGCTAGGGCAGGGTCTCCCGAGTCGAAGGTGGGCTCTTCCCGCGCGTGTTGGCGGTTGAGAGATTCGTCGGTGGGTTGTAGACTTGTGACCTCATGGCGGAGATAATTCAGGAACGCGTAGAAGATCGACTCCCCGAATTGGAACAGCTGGCGCGCATTGGACTGTTCAGTCATGCGGAGATTAAGTGAGAGAGAGCTGAGGAAGTGGAGGGGCTGGGGCGGGCTGAGGGGAGGGGAGGGAGTCTGTGGTGGGGGCAGGGATGCGTGGGGCACTTAATTGGGCTTATTTTTCTTTCTTTTTTTTTTTTTTAAAGATTTTATTTATTTATGAGAGAGAGAGAGAATGAGAAAGAGAGAGCACATGAGAGGGGGGAGGGTTAGAGGGAGAAGCAGACTCCCTGCCGAGCAGGGAGCCCGATGTGGGACTCGATCCCGGGACTCCAGGATCATGACCTGAGCTGAAGGCAGTCGCTTAACCAACTGAACCACCCAGGCGCCCGGGCTTATTTTTCTTAATCTGGCAGAAACCCATTTTCATATTTTGTTGATGCCCAGAATTTCTCCTTCGATGCAAGGTGGTCTGTCCACTCACCCACCAAACGTCTCACAGCTTTTAATGGAACCAGTTCTTAGGGCTATAAAGGTGATAAAACTAGGATGCCTAGCCATCAGGAGCTACCTGCCCTGCTTTTGCTGGGGGAGACAAATTAAACATTTTGCTTACGGTGCAGCGTACTGTAAGTTGATTGTACTATAGTGTACTGCCCTAGAGATGCAAAGAGTGCTGTGGGAGCCCAGGAGGAGTGTTAAATCTTTCTAATAAGACCTGAAGATGGGGACCATTTAATTCAATTTCGTGTTCTACCCCAGGGCTTGGCCAACAACGTCTGGCACATGGTTGGGATTCAGTACTTTGTTAGAATTAAGTAGAACGCTTTTTAATGGTTTTCTATGATTGTTTTCTGCATTTTACAATGGTTGTGAATGTAGTAATGTGACTATGGGAGCCTTAAACATTTGTTAGTGAAATGGAACATAGCAATGTGGACTCTTAATGAGTGTTCAATAAATGTTATTATTACTGTTTGGTTTTTTTTTTTTGAGATTTTATTTATTTGACAGAGCACAAGCAGGGGAAGCAGCAGGCAGAGAGAGAGGGAGAAGCAGGCGCCTACTGAGGAAGGAGCCCGATGAAGGGCTTGATCCCAGGACCCTGGGATCATGACCTGAGTAGAAGGCAGATGCTTAACTGACTGAGCTGCCCAGGCGCCCCTGTTATTATTACCGTTAAAGATAGTTATTAGTCTTGCACATCTTGCGTTAAATTCTCTTAGTATACACGTTGTGTTCTTTCTAGCTAAATACAGTGAATCTCTTCCTGTGAGTCCTTTGTAGTGTTAATAAACCTTCCTAGGTAGAAGCAAGTAGGAACAATCTAGGTCTTTTTTTTTTTTTTTTTTAGTCTGCATGTTGAAGACTCAGGTAAGAGGAGTTTAGAAAAGATACTTGATTATTATTAAAACCTAAGTGACCTGAATTTGGAGGAAAGTAAATCTTTACTAGTATCACATAAAAATGCTGTAAAGTACTTAACATTATTTGCTTTGGTGGTGGGAATGTCAGTGGTCCTGGCAGTCTATTAAGATGATTTTCATGAAAGTTTTAAAATACATCCTGATGCCCCTAAGCACGCAGAAGTAATCACGTAAGAGAATACTTGCTTACGAAGGATAATTATTTGGGAATTTCAGGTTTTGGAAAATGGGTTTTAAATATATTAAAAATAAACTTAAAAAAAACCCCAGAGTTCTTTAACTTACACTCTTTTCAAGCGTTACATCTTAAATGGCTTTCTCTCCAGGGCTATCATTAAAAAGGCTTCGGATCTGGAATATAGAATACAGCGAAGAGCTCTTCTTAAGGAAGACTTTATCAGTTATGTTCAAGTAAGTGTATGAGTTCATTACTTTTTAATCCCTTCACAAATTTTAAATCAGAATGGTGAGCTTGATTCAGTTTTCTATAAAATTCTAGAATTGACAATTAAGTGGTAATTTTTGACCAGGAATAAAGGTGATTTAGGAATAACTATAGCTAAGGCTATAGTCCTTGGCAAACTGAACTTTTTTTTTTTTTAAAGATTTTTATTTATTTATTTCAGAGAGAGAGAGAATGAGAGATAGAAAGCACGAGAGGGAAGAGGGTCAGAGGGAGAAGCAGACTCCCTGCTGAGCAGG